GTTAAACAAATAAGTGTGCTAATAGCTTTGGCTGTCCCTCCAAGGCCTAATGCCAGGAGACAGATGAGCCCTCAGTGCCAGCCCCCCACGCCCCCACATTCAGTTGCCGTCTCCTCCGATCCCAGGGCCCAAACCTCTATTAACACCCAAGAAATGAAATGCTCCATCACTTTCATTTGGACAGGTTAACAGCATGCATGGGACGCTAAACAAATGGCCATTTAGGGTCCTAATCCCCATTGGCCGCCCCTTTCCCAGCTCCCAGGGAGGGGACGGCCACAGGAAACCCTGAAAATGGACATCTGAGCCCAGTCTGTGGGGACCGGGAGGCCCAGGCTGGCTGCAGAGGCTCACACCTCCGAGTGGACCCCGCGTGTGCAAGGCGAGGCGGGAGCTCGCACACAGGGTGTGAGAGCGTGAAAATGACAAGCGCGTGGCAGGAGTGCACGGGCAGGCAGGTGTGATGTGGAAGTGACACCGTCTGAATGGAATGGGCACGCCGGGGAGGGACGTGTGAGTGACGGGATGGAGGGACCCGCTGAAATTGCTCTGGTGGCGGGGTGGCGCGGGCACCAGAAGGCTGGGGGACCTCGGCCATCCAAGCTGTCCCCAGCACGGGCCTTCTTTGGGGACAGAGTCCTGCACTGGTTTGGCTTGGGGGTCAGGACAAGGGTACGTTCAGGAGGCTGGGGTGAGATGGGCCCTGGGGTGGGCTGGGCGGAGGACGCTGAGGAGGCAGGGCCGGCCAGGAGGTTGGGAGTCCGTACCTTGCACCACCAGCCGGCCCTGGGCCGTTCTCCTCACCCGTGTGCCAGGCCGGTTGGCAGCACAGACGTAGATGCCGGCGTGCTGGACGCTCACGTCCGAGATGATGAGGTTCCCTGTGCCCAGCACTTGGATGCCCTCCACCCCAATGGGGCGGCCGTCTGCGGGGGCAGAGAGAGGGGGAGTCAGGCAGACCGATGTAGCATGGGAGTGAAGCACCGGCCCTTCTGCAGCCCTCCCGGGAGCCCCAGGCGTGGACTCTGCGGCTTCTAGCCCGAGCACCTCGGCCCTGCAGAAGCAGCAAACGCATCACGAGAGGCTCTTGCCAGGCAGCAGAGACCCGGCCCGGCCTAGCATCGTCACTGCCCTACCGGCCACCGCCCCGGCCCTCCCCTCCATCTCTCAGCCACAATGAGAAGGGGTTTGGATTGGATCGACACTGCCCAGCCAGGTTTGTCCCTGTTGAAAAGAGTTCTGTGGTCAAGCATCCATCCATTCTCCTTCTGGAAGGTTGGCTGCGATACCTTTTAATAGCAGGAGCACCTGGTCAACTTTGCTTCTCAGATTTGTCAGTCCCCAAGCCAGCCCGTCCCTCCGAACAGATCACACTTTGGGAAATGTTGGGCCAGATGGTCCTGGCAGTGCCCAGAGGCGCCTCCTAATGGTGAGGCCACCCTTTCCGGCCCTCCTCCAGCCCCAGGATCTGATTAGCGCAGCCAGAATACAAGGAGACAGCTCCCCATTCAGCCCCTGAAGTGCTGAAATCTACTCCATTATCTGCTCTGCCCCCTTCCCCAGCACTCAGCTGCTACAATGTGGCAGTCTCTGAATGCGACCCCACCCCAACCCTCCAGGGTTCCCTTCCCAAGTGACCTCTCTGCTCAGACAATGTGGCCCATCTGCACCCTTTCATTTCCCTCCTCAGCTGCCTGGAGGTTTTGGCCGAGGGACTGAGGGGCTGAGACTGGGGGAGGCGGGGAGGTGCTCAGAGTGAGGGTCTGAAAACTTGCTAGGATTTTGAGAGGCTTAGGATTGCATAGCTGAGGAGTCTGGCCAGGGGACAAAGGGGGTGGAGGTGGCAGGAGGAAGGACAGGGTGCGAGGGCTGCAGAGGGTTCCCGAGGGCCCAGCACCGGCAGGGGAGGACCTCCAGGACTGGACGAGGTAACCTGGGGAGTTAAGCCCTCCCTGCGTGGGGAGGGAGAATGCAGGGGGACAGCTGACCACCCCGGTCCTGCCAGCAGAGATACTTCACCCCCTCCCCTGGCCACAGGGCGAGAATGGACCCCCCAGGAGAACAAACAGGATTCAAAGGCCCCCGGAGCTGGGGTGCTGGGTGAGGAGCTGGCCCCCAGGGGTGGGACAGCAGGGAGGGCAGGGCTGCGGCATGCTCACCCAGGCGGCTCCAGGACACAATGGGCCGCGGGTTGCCCGTGGCGACACACTCCAGCACTGCTGTCTGGTGCACAGTCAGGGTGAGGTTCTCAGGCCCCACGAGGATAGCTGGCTCCTTGTAGGCCCCAGAGCCTGAACCTGGAGGAAGACCCGTGTTCCCTCACTGTAACTGGGAACTCCCCACTGCCCACTCACTCCCCTGGCCCTCCTCCTACCAGCCCTCTGCTGCCGGCCCAGGAGCCTGTCCAGGTCCGACGGAACCTGGACTGCACTTCCCTTCCCAGCCCTCCCTGCCAGCAGCCGGGCTCTGCGCTTAGAAGGCGCGAGTCCATGCTTGGCTGCTGGGTCTCCGGAGGGCAGTGGCCGGGGCACTGAGCCAAGGCTGGTGAGGAGCTGGCAGATCACAAGACCCTCACCTGACACAGTGAGCCTGGCTCCGTGGCTGATTCGGACACTGGCGATGTTGGAGGCCACGCAGTGGAAGATGCCGCTGTCCTCCGCCCGCAGTCCTGTGATCTGCAGGACCCCCTTGGGAAGCAGAGTGTACCTGTCGAGGGGAGGGACACTGCTGATCACCGCCATGGCTATCGGCCACAGAACCCGGACGCTGAACTGCCACAGCCAGCATCACAGATGCCCACTGGGACCCTTGAGGGTGGACACACCCTGAATCCCAGCCTGACAATGTACACAGCCTCACACACACCCACGAGCCTAGAATCTGGGTACTGCCTCAGCTACCGCTGCAGTTCCGCCAACCACCGTGTCGCCCCGGAGCGTGTGCAGAGAAGGCCAGCCAGCTCCCCGACCCCCATCTCTCCCGCAGTGGCTCACCTCTCGTCACCTGTGTCGATGGGGACTCTGTTCTTCTCCCACGTGATCAGGGGTTTGGGAAGCCCGTGAATTTGGCACTGGAAGCGGGCCACTCCACCCTCCTCGCCCACGGTGGCCTGGGGGTGCACGTGAAAGTCCGACATGGCTGAGGGGAGAAGTATATGGGTGAGGGGCACTGCTGAGGTGCATGGGGGGCTCTGGGTCACAGGCACCGAGATCCGGAGCTCACCCCGCTGAGAAGCCAAGGGCTTTCTGGGAACAGACAGGTGCAGGCAGTAGCTCGGGGCACGGCCCCTGGGAGGCGGCGGGCATAGGTGGGGCTGCTGAGTTTGAGAGTGGTGTGGACTAACGCCTGCACGACAGACCTCTAAGAAGGAAATTTGGGGCTGCGGGGGCTTCCCTGGTAGGAGTCAGTCCCCCAACTCTGAAAGCCCTGCTCCCAGTTTTCAGCTGGTTTGGATTTTCTTTTTACAAACTCCCCGTGAGATATGCAAGTGTTATGCCTCACGCTTTCCAGCACTGGGAACTGAGGCCCCAGAGATGGGCAGCGATTGGTCCTGTGTAGCCCGGCAGAGACGTTGTCAGGCCCTGGTTACCAGGGCTTGGTGGCTTTCTCTGTCCTTCCCCCTCAACTCCTAACTCCTCTCTGCAGTTGCTCAAAGCGCCCCACGAGGGTGGCAGGGTGGCGGTGGCGTATCTTGCCAAGGTGACAAGCCTTTCCACAGACTGTCAGACCTACAATCTACATTTCAATGTGTCATAAATATTCAGGGAGCCCCTCCCCACCTTTTGGGGATCTGAACTAATCACTTGAACTCTGGTCCTCAGAGGCCAGTGCTGAGGGGCTCTGGGACACCCCCTCCCCACTCAGGGCTGGTTAAGTGCCACCATCATTCCCACCAGTCCCCAATCCCCACCCTGAGCAGCCCACGGAAGCCCCCCTCATGCGGGTTCCCAGCATCAGCACCAGGGCTGCGATTTCATTAAAATCCACTTTGCTTCGAGTGCGGGAAGGCGGCGTGCCATCTGTCCAGGCAGCAGCCCCTCCCTCCGGCACTCCATCAACTGGGACAGTCGCTCCCCCCTGAAGGAGCCTGGCAGGCAGCCGCAGGGGTGCAGGGATGCTGAAGCGGCCCCCTGGTCCTGGCTCCTGGGGGCGGGCGGACAGCCCTACCCGTGGCCCCCACACCCCAGCTCAGGCCCCCTCAACTCCCGGGCCTGTTCTGGACCCCTGGGCAGCCCAGAAGGTGGAGCCTTTATGCCCTTCCAGCCCGAGTCTCTGGGGGCTGGCTCCTTTGTGGCGTGTTCTGTCTCATTTGCATGTGGTTCATTAAATATAAACATGCATAAAAATCCCCCCCCCAGCCTCCTCCTTGTTGAGGGCCTCCTGGGAGTGTGACTGAGGGTGTGGGCGCCTTTGTGCGTCGGCTGTGTGTTTGCGGATCTCTGCGGACGTGGCTGAGTGTCCGCGTCCGGACAGGGCTGGGGCTGCATGGTCAGCTGTGGCTGCTGCGTGACTCTGGCACTAAGTAGGTAATCAGTCACGGTGTCCCTATGCAGGTAGAGCCCTTAGAAACAGCACCTCGGGCCCCGCGGCAAGAGGTTGGGGGCCAGCATCCCAAGGGTACCCCCATCAGGCTGGGTGGGAGGCTCCCAGGGTGGTCAGGCCAGCCTGCTCCTCTCAAGCCAAGGGCTGTGTTTGGCCAAAGGCCCTCGGGTCAGCCCAGAGGCTCAAACCCTGCACCCTCTCCAGCCGCCAGAGGGCAGGGCTGGAAACTGGCCTGGAGTGGAGAGGGCACCCAGGCTTCTGGGTCCTGGGCAGTCTGCCCCGAGGCTCTGCTTACCGGGGCTAGGGAGGTGTCTGCCCCCTCCTCACTCCAGCTGGAGAGGAGCGGCAGCCCCCAGGGACCTGGGCGGGACTAATGGCTCTGCCGACCACAGATGCCTCCTCATTAAGGATCCAGTCCTCCCGAGCTCCAGTCCCTAGTCTGGGCTCCCTGGAGGCACCAGAGCTGGAGCTGGCCTGAGGAGGAGGAGGAAAAGGCCGGCTTCTCACTGGGGTGTGGAGGTAGGGAGTCTGGCCTCGGCTGTCCAGCCCCGCCCAAACTACAGCGACGACAGCAA